AGACACCTCAGCACCTGGAGTGAGTCTACAGCCTGTGTGAGGCAGAGAGATGTCCCAGCTCTGGCTTCCCCTTGACAGCTGGAGATGGTGGCTGCTCTGCCCTGCTTTACGTCTTTGCAGCTCCTTACTGCCTACTGATCTGAGAAAGGCAACCAGGGGCCTCGCAAAGGCTTGGGGGGTTCATTATCTTCCCAAATAATGTTGCTGTCCTCCTGCCTGCTATACTCCCTCTGAGACCAGCCCCCATTGATGAGTTTCTTCAACAGCTGGATTCACAACATTGTTGAGCACTGCCATGTATTGAGCACTTGGAACACAGCAGGGAACAAGATTGCAGGGTTCCTTCCTCATGGGATTTGCCACCATGTGCATGCATGATAGAGAATCAGACAGCTGCACAAATAGTAAACTAAAGGCTTTGGTTGCACAGGGGCATTCCTGCACTGTAACATCCCCCAAATAACTCTTAGAACCACAGAATATTAGAACCAGTCCAGTTCCTACATTGAGTGTTTGAGGAAGCCAAGAGAACCTCAGTTTGAGGTTGAAACCTGGTGAAGGGATTTGTCCAGAGTCACAGTGGACACCATTGGTGGAGCAGACTGGAAATCTGGGCTCCTGACTCCTGGCTCAGTTCCCCTTCCATTATTGTTTTCCCTGCTCTAGCTGTAGGAAGAGTCCTCAGAAGCAGCAACTCCTCCACTGATGCTAGGTGGCACCAGAATGCCTTTGAAGAAAAAGGCTCTGGGTCTCAGCTCTTGTCTGACATTGCCCAGATCCTCACTGTGGGAGTCCTGAAGTTTGGATGGGCAGGACTCCTTTTATAATGCTCTCAAAAGTCCTGCTTGCTCCAGTTCACAATCCCCACCTTCTTTGTCAGTGAAATCTTGCCTGGGTTGGAGGTGCAGGGAAGGGCTGTCTCTTCTGTGATTGTCTGGGAGAATTTGCTCCTGTGTGATTGATTTCTTGGGGCCCCTAGGGCAGAATAGAAAGTTCTGGGTAGGTGATCAGCTCAACAGGAAGATATTTTAGGGTAGTGCAGGCATGAGTTGAGTTCCAGTTCATCTTAACTGTTAGTATTTTCTTTACTTAAGATTTTGTCTGAGTGTGCAACCCAGCTGAACACAGTGTGGTCTCTCCCTGGGTCACATTGCCAGTCTGTGACAGAGCTGGGGTGGAATTCCAGCTCACTAAATACTGAACTTCTTTGCTTCTCAGGAGGATGTGGAGAAGACAAGACCCTCTGTCATCTGGTTCCTACCTGTCCCTTCAGCCCCATCTTGCTGTTGTGTAGCTTTGTGGCTAAGAGTATAGGCTCTAGTTTCAGGTTCTTGAATGCTGCCTCCCCACTTGTTAATTGTGTGACTGTGCCATGGTTATGTGACTTGTCTTTGCCTCAGTTTTTCCCTTTGTAATGGGATGTGATGGATTGCAAATGGCTTCAAATTTCTTTGTAGATCCTCCCGTGGAATGTGTTTTCCCCACCCCCTTGAAACTGGGCTGGCCTTGTGATTTGCTTTGATAGAATGTAATGGCATTGATGATCTGTGAGTTCTGTGCCTAGGTCTCAAGAGGCTCTGTGGATTCTGTTCTCACTCCCAGAACATTGCTGCCGTATGACAATGTTGGCTGACGTTCTTGAAGATGGAAGATCCCAGCCATTTCACCTCAAATTGCAGAGAATCATGAGTGCATAAGTAATTGTATTGGTCCACTAAATTTTGGGTGGTGGTGGTTTGGTGTGTTGCAGAAGCTAACTGAAATAGCAGAGCATAATATTACCTACCTTGGAGGGTTGCTGTGAGGTTTACATGATGATGTGCCCTTAGTCCAGTGTCAAGTACACAGTGGGCTTGTATGGTTGTTACTATTAACGTTATCATGGGGGCACTTACTCTTTTTTATTTGGATTCTAGTCATCCTGACCTTTCTTTTCTTTTTTCTTCTCCTCCTTCTGTATACTAAACTCTTCCTTTTCAGGGCTTTCATAGTTAATTCTCTCCATCTGCAATAGCCCTTTCCTGCTGTATTATTATCATGGTTAAAGTCTCCTCTCCTCCATGGAAAGGCCTTTTCTGATCATGCTGGGAACCACCCCTCCCTTCTTTTCCATTCTTCTTTCTTCTCATAGAGTTCAACTGTCTCATTTATCTATTTGATTACTGGCTGTCTTACCTTCTAGGTTGTGAATCCCTTGAAGGCAGGAGATGGGCCTGTTTTCTCTCCTATTTTATCCTTGCTGCCTAACACAGTGCTGTGCAGTAGGCACCCACTCGATCTTTTCTGAATGAGGGAAAAGAGGCACCTGAATCAATCTGGGTTTGAGGCTGGTGTCAGGCTTCCAGCAAGAGGAGAGTAGCCAGGTTAGAGTTACAGAGGAGACGGTGTGCTGCTGCTTCTAATTCCTATAGCCATTTTGGTTTGTGTCACACTCTCATGTTGGATCAAACATGTTCCTGACACTCTATGTCTGACAAGGTATGAGCTTCTTTAAAGACAGGAACTGAATTCCTCACAGCCCATAGCATATTAGCAGGCATCCAGTAGGGGCTTAACAGTTTATTGGACAAATGGATGGACAGACTACTGAATGAATGAATGAATGAATGGAAAGAAGGATGGATGGATGAGAGGGTACTCAGAACTGCAGGCAATTATGGAAAACAATGTTTATTTTTTTCTAATAAAGGATAACTCATTTCCAGTCAATCAGTGAAAGGTCATAAATGTATAAAAATGTTCTAAGTACAATCATTAGCATAATGTTATAGGAAAAGTTGTTATAACCTTTTCCCTTAAGGTGGCATGTTGGATGGTCACAGTTGGTTTGGTTTCAAAGGGCGGCAAGAATAGGTGACGAGCTGTCTCAGGTGGCCCACGACTGAGGGATTTCCTAGGATGTGGGCCCTTCAGTGCTAAGACTTGGAAAACCCCAGGCAGACTGGGATGGTTGGTTGTGCAAGAAAGAGAGCAACATCACAATGGTGGGTATGGTTTAGCATTTAGGTACAGTGGTCATTTTCACAAGTTTCTCATCACCTTGTTTCCCCTTAGCTCTGAAATAGAAATCCCTGTGTTACTACTGAGGGTGTTACAGCTCTCAAAGGGTTTGCACATCCCCTGTGTATTTTTGACTTGATCCTTATGCCAAGCCTGGAAGGTAGAGCAGTTTTAACCTAATTTGCAGGTATAGCATCTTGCTTCAAGGCTCCTGGCTCCTAGAGAGTACAGAAGCAAAGACTCAAACCCAAATCTCCTGAGGCCAGTGTTCTTCCCACTACTCTGTTCTTCTCTGGAACATCCTAACTCTCTCAGTATGGCTTGCAGGAGTGGGCAGGAATCAAATGGGGAAATTGAGGACCCCATGATCCAAGTTTTGGCTCAAACCACTCATTTGGAACAATTCCTATCATTACTGCTCTGCCTGCTGTGTTCACCTGCTCCTTCTCTAGCAATCAGCATGTAGAATTATCCTGTTGGCCATTATTGGCATCATTATGTGACATAGACAGTAAAAGAGATCCAGTGTATTGCTTCCAGGGACACAATGCTTCAAATGGTCCCTCCAGTTCAGGTTTGTCAGCCGGATGGTCAGAGGATGAGCTCAGTTGGTCATTTGCCAATTTGATTGTTGAGATCTTTTTGTGCATCTTTGCTGAGAAGTTACTCAAGTGAAAAGTCAACATTGTGGGGTAGCTATGCCTCTTAGGCTCAAAGACTTGTCACACATGTTGCATCCATCCTTAATATACAGGGATTTTGCTTAATATACAGGTACCATCTTAAGGAGGAGAGGGTTCAGTAGCTGCCTCTGACTTATCTTAAAGACTAGAGATACATTATCCTTGTCCATAATAGACCTGAATTCTCTTGATAGCTTCTTGGAATTCTATCATCCATTCTTTCATTCAACACTGTTTTGAGCACTTTTACATTTTGGCATTTGTAACCTCTAGGGATAAGAAGTTTGCATAATCCTTTAACCTCTGAAATTAGACTTCCTCTGACTCTCCCTAATGTAACTGAAGCATGGGCCAGTGTCTTCCAGCTGGTAATAATCAGGGATAAGCTTAATGATAGGGTTTAATATTGGCCCTATCCTTTGAGGTGTCCTTGTTTGGGCTCAGAGTTGCTCTATCATACAGGTTTATTCTGGGCGCAGATATATTAAGGTCTATAAGTCTTAGAGCTGAATAAGGATGAGTACTTCTGTTTAAAAATAAACAAATAGCTTTAAAAAAATAGTACTGCTCCTATCCTCTTGGTATAGACTGTGGACATATGGTCCATTAGCTAAAGCTTGGGATTTCCAGTGCACCCATTCGCTTTAGCATGCTTACATTGTTGTTGCCTCTTACACTAGCTATGGATCTACAATTTTCAAAAGTGTCTGTGACACTGAGTTCAAATCTACTCTTTAGATATGGTTTTCTTTGGCTTAGAGACAGGAAGCAACCAATTCTCTATGAATGAAAATGTTAAACCTGACGTAATTACCACTGCAATACACTCAAGATGAAGTACCTGTATATATGGGTCTCTTCTGAAACTTTAACTTTCGGCACAATAAGATGAGGTGATGGCTTGACAAGCCCAGAAACTTCCATATCCTGAGAGATTGCCTGGGTAGATATATCTCTTGGAATCTTGGAAAATTATGGCCCAGTTGTGTTAGCCATTTGTTCTACTTACCTAGAAGGTCACAAGAATGTCTCTGGGCTAAAAAAATTTTAAAACTCAATGCATTAGACACATAGCTTCCTTATAAAATTTTTGTTTGCATTATATGCTGCCTGGCAGCAGGAGAAAGGTAGAGGTGGATTGGTTTCCAGTCCTTTGTCAAAGCCCTTGGGGCCAGCATTTTCTCCAAGGACGTCAAGCCTGGTTGGGAGCAAATAAATCTGGCATGGCCTTTCCTCCATGAAGACGAAGAGTCATAGGTTAATTAGCCCATTGATTGGGTGGCTTCCTCTGAGTTTGTACAGATTTCTTCAGGCCATTTATATGGTCAGTGAACTCTGGGATCGGCGATGACTGCCCCTGCTTGAGGGCCTGTACTCATCAGTCTGTCCACTTGAATAGGCTCCCGAAGTCGTTGTCTTACTAGGGCCCAGAAGCAGGTATTCCCTGGATGAGAGTTTAGCTGAGGAGTCCCCTGGGCATGGGTGATCCTTCAGATGGTCTCTGCTGCATTTCTCTCCATGCAGCACCCAGTCCTCCTTGTACTTCCGCTCTGGAGGGCTAGAGCTCTTTGGGGTGCTGGCTCTGAAGGCTCGTTCTGGGACAGGTGGCACTGGATGGTGGGTGTGCTGAGCCTTTCCAGGAATAGGGACAGGCCTCTGTCTGCTTCTCCAACTCTGCATTTCTAGGTCTCTTTTGTCTGTCGGGAGTTTGTCGATTTTCTGAGCTTTTAAGATCAGAGACTTCCCATAAGTCCCTTGTAGAGATAGGAAAAAGTACCTGGTAGGAAATAACAGAATAAAAGTACTTTGTTTTTTGTGGACTTCTTGAATTTCAGCATTGGAAGAGGCCTTAGAATCGAATTCCCCAGACAGGGCAAGATTCTGTTTGTTACGTCCCTGACTGTTGGCTATCAAATCTAGGCCTGGGCGCCTCTGGTAATGGGGAGTTCAACAGTAACAGAACATAACAGCTAACATTTATTATGTATCCGAGCTATCCTAAATGCTTTAGACATTAACTCATTTCATTCTTCCAACAATCTTGGGCTGTCTGTACTTTTGCTTCCCCCTGTGTACAGATGATGAGACTGAGGCAACAAGGGATTAAGTGATTTGTCCAGAGTCTCACAGTAATGGAGCTGTGATCAGAACCAAGCATTCTGGATCCCAAGGCTTTTATCCACCATGTAAAGGTGGTCCATTTCTATTTCTGGGCTATTCTAATTCAGGCATATGTACTTGATTTATAATGTCAATCCTTTGTGGAACTTATTAATTTTTGAGTAGTTTCTAAATACAAACTCTTTCCCTGAATCTATGGGCTGGCTTGACAGCATCGCTGTATTATCACTACAAGTGCCAAGAAGGGTTTCCCAGGGTCTCCAGAGAAGTTAATTGACCTCCCTGATGATTGACCCAAGTGTTCCCTTTGTCCCTGCCCAGTTGAATGTGGACTCTGGGAGTCTCTTTGTTTAGAATCTTTTCTCTATTCCAAGTTTAGGGAAGGAAGGAGTAAGGAGGTGAATAAAACTATGTGGTGTATGGAGAAAGAATCACACCATTACACCATCTTGTGATACTGGGCAACTCATGTTCCCTCTTTCGGTGTTGATTTCTTAACCTAAAATGTACTTCAATTGGTCAGGAGAACACTCATGGTTTTTTTCCAAAAAAAATCCTTTAAAAAGTTTTATTTCTAAAGCCTTATAGAAAGGCTCCATCCTTCCACTATTGTCTAAAAGCTTTAGGGTGACCTCAGGGGCAAGGGGTTTCTGAAGACAACAGTAGGTCCCATGGAATCAGATAAATTTCCCCCAATTCTTTCTCATCTCACCCAGTGAGGCAGTACAGGTGGCCATGTATATGTTTCAGGAAAGATTCAATTTCTTGGAAATTTGAATATTCTCAGTTTAAGCCTTTCCCCCAAGCTATCACTTTCCTTTCTCCATCCATTTATTTAACAAATACCTGTAAAGTTCCTACAATAGGCCAGGCCCAAAGGGATTAAACTGTGAGCAAGACAAGGTTCTTGCTTTCATGTAGCACATAAATAGACTTCTAAATGGAGAGAGCAATGAAAAGTATCAAACACCTGATCTGGTGTGAGAGACCTTCCTTGAGAAGGAAACATTTAAGCTGAGGACTGAGAGATGCATAGGAGGTAGTCAGGCAAAGGGGGTGAGAACAAAATCCTGGGCACAATGGCTGCAGTACAGAAAGTGAGGACAAGGGTGGGGACATATGGGACGGAAGGGGTTGCTAGGGCCAGAGCAGGCAGGGGCTGTGGCCAGATCTTGTTTTTTGTGCTTTACGGTGATGGTCTTGGGAAGCTCCTTTGGGGGGGGAGGCGAGACATAAACAGATGATGACAAGATTACACTTTGACACAATGATAATGGGTTAGAGCAAACCCATTGGGAGACTGCTGAAGTAATTTGGGGTAAAAAGATTAGAAATAGAAATAAGAGATGGATTTGAGAAATACACAGGGGATAAACCCACCTGGTTTTCATGACAAGTCACATGTGAGGTGGTAGGTGGTATTAAGGATCCTAGGGGTCTGTCCTGGTCCTAAGTGGGTAACATTTGATGGAGAGAACTCTGAAAGAGACCTAAGTTTCTTTGATGGTGGTGCTGATAGAGGATGGATCATGAATTAAATTACAGATGTCTCTGTTTCCTCAGACTAAATGTGCCTAGTGGCAGTGATGAGAGGTAGTTAGAAAGATGTATCTGGAATTCAGAAGAGAGACTGGACTGGGAATTTATATTGGAGAGTCATCTGTTAAAAATGATATTTAACTTCATAATAGTGGTTGCTATGTCTATGGAGAAAATATAAAGTTAGAAGAACCTAAGACCAAGGGTAGACATCCACTATGTCAAGAACACGAACCAGCAAAGGAAACAAAGAAGTAGGAGAAAGACCAACAGAGTGTTGTGTTACCGAAGCCAAGGAAAGAGTGTGCAAGGACAGTTATCCTCCCTTATAGCTAATTAAGAGGCTGCTTTGTGTTGTAAACTGAGTGCACTGGCTTCCTTTTGTTTTATCTGTAAAATAATTACATGTTCCCAGTTTAAGAAAATCTGTACAATTCTCTTATACTGCTTGAATTAATTAGACCAAGCTAAGTGAGGTCACAGCTAGTGGGTTAATTATCACAAGCTGGGTGAGTGAAATCAATCTCCATTATGATAAATATAGCTTACAACTTTAAGTGAATGAGTAGTTTTCTGTGGCAAACATTCTATCATGTAGATTTCTATATGAAACATTTATTGTTCCAAGGTTATAAGTCTACAGTCCTTGGAACTATTAAAATAATCTTTTCTCTATCAGAGGAAATGTCTGCTTTCTTAGTAAACAACATTAAGCAGAAATCCAACTTTATGATGATGATAAAGAATAGGCAGAGATTTAACTTATATGCTATGGTATTTAGCAAGCAAGTATTTGTTAACCTTTTCCTAACTTGTCCCTCATCTGTTATAACAAGCTGTAATGTTGAAGGCTTGTCTTTTCAAAGTAGGTGTCAGCAGTCTTCATACTTTTCAAATATCCTCATCGAACTGGTTCGTTTTGGCTTTAAGTGTTTTCCAGCCAAGGGTAAGACAAAGAATATAGGCTGATAATTTTCTTTCCATTCCCTAAATATGACACAGAACAGGGGAGCTCAGTCCTTGGCTTGTGGTGATTATAGCTGTGTTTAACCCAAAAGTGTGAACAAAAGTACTTAACCCACAGTTTGATGCCCTTCTCCAATGAGGGCACAGTCTTCATGGTCTCTCCCAAGGGGTTGGGCAGAAGAAGGGGTGGGGCGGGCAATATGTCCTTTGAGGCTTGTACTTGTTCTTAATTGCTTCCTGTTCTTCATTCAAGGCCCTCTTTCCATACTAGTCACTTTCCCCTGTCTTATGGTCAAAGTTATATCTGAATTGTCTATTGGATTGCAGGTTTCTTGAGAACAAGGGTCCTGTTTTATTCCCCTTTCTGTTCTTCTAACATCTATTGCTCATTTATCTCAGAATGCAGCCTATGTGACAGGAACTGTGCTGTTTTGGTTATATAAAGATAGGGAGGATACCTTCTGTCCAGGAGTTAGTGGTCAGACATAGACGATTTATAACAAATGGCTAAAGGCAGTGACAAAGACACACCCAGGTGATGGGAACACATCAGAGAGGGGGACATATTTCTACTTGAGGAAGGTAGGTGAAATCATGGAAGGGTTGGAATTGGTCATGCCTGAAATGTCAAAGGATGAGGAGGTTTGGTAATAGAAAGTGTACGCCAAATAGGAGGAACAGCATGAATAAGGGCAGGAAGGTGAGAAGGCATGGACTTTCAGAGAAGTACAAGAAGCTTGGTAGTGTGGAGCCCGAAGTTTGAAGTAGGGAGTTGAGGGAGGGATGAAGCTGTAGAGCCCAGCAGGGGCCAAGCAGGGAGGCCATGCACATAGAGCATACTTAGGATACAACTGATGTCTGTGTTTGCAATCTAGGTATCTTCAGCCTCCAACCTTGCATCAGAGGTCAAGGTTCTGAGCTGGCTTAGGACAAGGAAATGGAGACCAACCTAGGTTAAGCAAGCTGCCACATTTATTAAAGGAAGTATGACTAGCTATGGCTCTCTAATTTTGGATTAGAAAAAGTTCTACGCCATGTTGAGATAGTCTGTTTACTACAGATTATGATGATAACGTGGCTGAATTTTGATGTTCAGAGTGGTGGGATCTTAAGGATGGAGAGGGGCTAAGTCCTGCCCACAGGTACATGCTCAAGTTCACTGACTGTTCTAACTAGAGTGTGGGCTGCAGAATAGAACACAGGCCACTGAATTGGGAGAATCCAGCTCCCACTGTAATTTGTGGTGGACTTGTGAATAGTCCCTTCTTGGGACTTAACTGTCCCATGAGCAAGTGGTACTAGAACTATAGCTCTGCCTAAATTCTAGGTGATGGCAAAAGCAAAACAAAGTGCTAGATAGTGTGTGGCAAGAGCTTCAAGGAAATGCAAGGCATTATTGTGGCTATTCTTCTGGAAAAGTCAAATGCAGAAGGTTTAGGATAGAAATGTTAGAAATAGTCCTTGGGCAGGAATGATTTATTTGGTTAATACACATTTTTGTGTGTAATAAATTTGAGTAATATTAAAAAGTTGGCTATTTCATGCAAAATTTGAATTTCTGTAAGAAATCTCAAGCTCTGCAATGCTAAGACTTGATCTTTTCTGGGGCAATGATAGGGAGAAGCTGAGAAGGTCTTTCACCCCATGTCTGTACTACACCTGGTTTGCTGCAGTTGTGTGCCCATGCCTGTAGTTATTAGAGTTATGAGACTCCTGGGCTAATAAAGGACCACAGACCTTTTCAAAATGATCCTTACACACAACAAAATTTGTAAAGCAGGAGGGCAGAAATTACCATTTTACAGATGTCACAACTTAGGCCATGCCAGTTGGTGATTTTGCTACTCTGTGGCTGACCTGGGATGACAGTCCATGTTATTTGCCTTCTAATTCATTGTTCTCTTTGACCTAATACCCTGTCTTTGAAACAATAGCCTCAAGGTTCCCAGCAGGAGTCAAACTCCTGACTCTTGGCTTATGAAAATAGCTTATTAAGGGGGCATTGGTGGTTCTAGGTAGAAAACAACCCCTGTGCTCAAACCTTGGGAGAAGAGCCATGACGGGTGTGAGGAAACAGACGAGGTAGAAAGTGGGGTCTGAGAGCTGGCCTTCCATCACCCAATAGGGATTGGTGGGACTGTTGCAGTTGACGCAGGTGGCATTGTAAACAAGGGATGCCACAAAGTACATCAGGAAGCTGCCTACAAGAACAAGCCCGTGGATAATGGTCTGTGGAAGGAAAGGAGAAGTAAACACTGTTAAAACTATAGCTTAGATCAGGGGGCAGTGCAATCATGGCATCTGACTAACTTTGTTTTAAGCATTTTTTTTTGGCGGGGGGGAATGCAACACACATAAAAAATTCAAAAAAGCATGCAGTTTAATGGAGCATTAGAAAGCAAACACCCATGCTGCCCTCATCCAGAATTTGAACATACATACCCAAAGAGCCCCTAGAGATCCTGTCTCACCCTTGACTTTGGTGATCATTACAAGCCATCCTTTGTAGTTTCACTGCCTATGTACTCTGCTTTTTAAGTGTTAGATAAATAGAATCCTATTTGGTGTGAGGAATCCATTTTTTCCACATGTGGCTGCAGTTTATTCATGTTCAAAGCAGTACAGTGTTCTGTTGTCTGATCTTATTTTGTCCTGTTTTATGTTCTTTTATGCACTCTTATCCTCTTTTAAACTTAGTATTTTGTACAATTTCATTTTTTCCCTTTACTGGTTTGAAAGTTATACACTCCAGTTCTATTCTTTCAATGATTACTCAATAAATGATAATAAGCAATCTTAGCACAGTCTAAAGTATGTAACTACTTTTCCCTACTCCTGAATCACACAAGGGCTTTAGAGCACTTTAACTCTGTTTACTTCCCTGCTGACTTAAATCTTACTGCTACTGCATATTTTATTCTATCATCTTTTAAAGCAGACAGATCATTATTATAGTTGAATATCATCAACATTTGTTAAAATTCACTTGATGTTTACCATTTTCTGTACCTTCATTCCTTCTTGCATCTTGGACCTTCCATCTGAGATTTTTTTTCCTTTTGCTTTAAGTACATTCTTTAGAATTGCCTTTAGTGGAAATCTGCTGGTGATCTATTCTGATGCTTTATTTCATTCTCATTCTTGAAAGACATTTTTGATGGATATAGAATTCTTGTTTGGCAGTTTTTTTTAAGCATATTTAAAATAGCAGTCCATTGTCTTTTGGCTTTTGTTGTTGCTTTTGAGACATTTCTTATCTGTTGTTCCTTAGAAAGAAATGGTTATCTCCTAAAATCTGGCAATTTTTTTTTCTAAGTATGCTCCATGCCCAGCATGAAGCCAGCCCATTGTAGGGCTTGAACTCATGACCTTGAGATCAAGGTCTGAGCTGAGATCAGGAGTCGGATGCTCAACTGACTGAACCACCCAAGCACCCCCAAATCTGGCTACTTTTATGGTTTTTGTCTTTAGTATTCTATAGTTTCTTTATGATAAGTATTTCTTTTTATTTATCTTGGTTGGGTTTTGCTGATCTAGAATTTGTGGGTTGATGTATTTCATCATTTCTGCAAAATTCTTAAGTCACTATCTTTTCAACTATTACCTCTGTCTCATTTTCTCTCTCCTTTACTTTTTTTTTTTTTTAAGATGTTGTTTATTTATTTGACAGAGAGCTAGAGAGAGAGCACCAGCAGGCAGAGCAGCAGGCAGAGGGAGAGAGAGAAGCAGGTTCCCCGCGGAACAGGGAGCCCGATGCGGGGCTTGATCCCAGGATCCTGGGATCATGACCTGAGCCAAAGTCAGATGCTTAACCGACAGCCACACTGGCGCCCGTCTCCTTTATTTCTTAGATTCTGATCAAACGTATGTTAGACCTTTTTAGATACCACCCTATCTTCTATATATCTTATACCTTTTCCATAATTTTCATTATTTTTCTTGTTTTATATTCTGTATAATTACTTTTGACCAATTCAATAATTCTCTCCTTCAGTTTTGTCTAATTTTTTTGTTAAGCCAGCTACTGTATTTTATTTTTAAAAGTTTTATTTGGTCTCTTTTCAAATTTGCTAGATTGCTTTATATAGTTTATCAATCCCTGCAGATATTTTAAAGCTTAAACATAGATTTTTCTATAATTTATATCTGGTAATACCAACACCTGAACTATGTGTTTCTGATTTTTTTTTAAACCTCACTAATGGGTTTTTGTTTCTTTGAGAGTTGGGTGTTTTTTGAATATGTGAGGCTCAGAGCCCTCGAAGAGTTGGTAGGAACAATTTTGAGGCATGGGATGAGATACCTTTCTCTAGAGAAGGCATGTTTATTTTGTAATGTCCTTGGCAACTGTCAGTCTTGGGTCACTTTAAACTGACCTCATACATCAAAATTTGGCTCACCAAGGTGATACAAACCTGGGCTGCAAATCTGTATGAGGCCAGCCCATGGTCCATTTCCTAGGACAGGTCCTTTATATTGATTCTCCCTGCTTTGCTCACAGTGGAAATAATCCCTGCAGTACCTGCTGGGGAGCTTGAACAGGCAGGTCCATTTTGGGTGTAGCCTTACCCTGAGGTATAGCTTTGGGATCCTAATGTAATGTGGGCTCTTATTAGACTCCTGCCTTGGGTGTCTGGGTTTGATTTCTGAATATTTTGCTCAGTCAAGCTGCCCCAAAACAAAGTTCTTTTTGGGCAGGGTTGCAGACATCCTCAAGGAAACAGGTTTGGCTCTTTCTCTAGACTCCCCCTTTCTCAGAGGTTTTTGTCTTTACTATTCTGTCAGCTCTTTTATGCTTTTGAAGTAGTTTTTTATTTTTATTTTTAGTTTTCAGTGGGAGAGGTGATCTGAATAATCCAGCCCCTGATCCTGAAGAAGAAAGCAGTTAGTTAATTCTTTTCAGTTGCTTTGGTGGGAACTGTGAAAACTGACAGTTACTCAAATTCATGTTAGATTTCTACCCAGGAAATAGACTGTCTTGCTTCAAGTACTTTCAAAAGTGAAATATACTTTTTCATAATGATTTTAGTAACTGACTCTTTTTCCAAAAGCACCAGAAATTACAAGTAACTACTGGTTTAGCCGGTCTAGAAATGCATTGGGTGGGCTAATAATGCTGAATGATGAGTGAAAGGAACAGGTCCCCCTCTCTGAAAGCAGATGGATGCAGTGTTGTGAGAAAGTGGGCTGAGTGACCAATGAAGATACAGAATTTTTAATTCATCACCCATGTAATACACAATCGAGGCCTGATTATACTTTTCAGGGCCTTCTGAAATGTTAAAAATCTAGTGGTTAAGAGGTTCATGGAGAGTAGAATTCCTCTTGGGAAATATCTTGGGGTTTTTTTTTTAATGTAATTAAATTGTGAAATATTTCAAGCATAAGATAGTATACCTCATATAACCAACATCCAGCTTTATCAATTTTAACTGTCATATTTCCTCCAATTATTATTAAAAAAATTAACATATACAATTAAAGCACCCATGATTCCCTTGCAAATGTTTTCTCTTTAGTCTTGAACATAAATTCAGTGGTTCATCATTCTTTTTTTTTTTTTTTAGTGGTTCATCATTCTTGTGCATATTTTGTACATACATGTTTATGAATGCTTCTTTAATCCTTTAACTTTTTTCACTAGACCTAATGCTTTGGAGTTCCATCTATGTTGATAGATCTGGCTTTGGTTATTTATTTTAACTGTTCTAGTATATGAATATGCCACAGTTTATTTTCCTGTTGATGAACACTTAGCCTTTTTCCTTTATTTTTTTTCCTGCTATTAAGAACAATACTGTAACAAGCATTCTTGAACACATCTCTGTATATAACACATGCAAGAATATTTCTAGGGTGCATCATACTTAAAAGTAGAATTGTGTCATAGCAGATGAGTACTTAAACTCCTCCAGCTATTTTCAAATTGCTCTCCAGAGTGGTGGCATCAGCATATAGTTTGTGGTCTACTACCAGAATATGAAAGTTCCTTGGTTGGGCTTTATTATCTTTCACACAGTGCTGAGTTAATTTGTCAATAATTTATTTAGAATTTTTATATCTCTGTTCATTTAGTGAGATTGCTCTATAATTTTCTTTCCTTGAACTGTCTATGCCTATTTTGGTATCAGGATTATTTTAGCCAATTTCTTTAATGGTGACCGGTTTATTCAGGTTTGCTGAATGACCTTGGTTATGTTTTGGTAGATTTTATATTTAAAGAAATTATCAACTTGTTTTAAATTTTCAAAAAATACTTAAATTGATGTCCATAATTATCAGTCTTTTTCATATTTTTGTGGTCTTTTCTTGGATTGGTTTTGTCAGAGATTAGATTTTTTGTTTTCTTTAGTTAAAATTCCAGTTAACATACAGTACCATATTAGTTTCAGGTGTAACGATATAGTGATGCAACAAGTCCATACAATATCCAGTGCTCATCAGAACAAGAGCACCCCTTAATCCCTATCACCTATTTAACCCATCCCCCACCCACTTCCCCTCTGGTACCCATCAGTTTGTTCTCTATAGTTAAGAGTCTGTTTCTTGGTTTGCCTTTCTTTTTGCTTGTTTTATTTCTTAAATTCCACATAAGAGTGGTATTTGTCTTTCTCTGACATATTCGCTTAGCATATACTCTCTAGATCCCATCCATGTTGTTGCAAATGGCATGATTTCATTCTTTTTTTTATGGCTGAGTAACAGAGATTAATTGTTATTAGGGTTTTGAGGAACAGTTTTGGTTTTATTGATCCTTTCTCTTGTTTCCTTGATTTTTCTCTTTAGATTTACATGATAGTTTTTTAAGTTCCTTGAATCGAATTCTTGTTTTTTATCTTTTTGCGTTTTAATAATAAAAGGATTAGCTTCAACCCATAAGTTTGCATATATGGTGTTTTTATAGTCATTCAGCAATATGATTTACTCTTGACCTCATGAGTTATTTAGAAGTGCATTTTGAAACTTCCAAGCATGTTAGCTTTGTTTGACTATCTTTTTATTGCTTGTTTTTAATTTAAATGCATTGTCAGAAAGGATGATCATGATTCTTTCAAATTCCTGTAAGAATTCAGAATTTGGTCTTTTACTTTTTGATATATGGTCTGTGTGTTTTTGAAAAATGCATGTTTACTAATACATTAGATCAAATGTGATAATTTATTCCAGGCTTCTATATCATTTCTATTTGATCTGTTTCTGATAGAGTTGTATATAAATCGCACACTACAATTGTGAATTTGTCTATTTGTCCTTATATTTACTGGACAAAAAAATCCAATCTGATAATTTTTGCTTTTAATAGGTGAATTAAATCCATTAACATTTATTATGAATACTGATATATTTAGATTTATTCTGAACATCTTATTTTGTGGAGTTTTTTGTCCATCATTTTTCTTTGCCCTTATTTATCTTTCCTACATCCTGCAGAATTGATAGTTTCCTATATTCCTCTTATTTCTTTCCATTCCTTTATGGTTAAACCTTAAGTTTTGAAGATATGTTTTCAAGTATTAAGAGAGACCTTAAGTTTTGAGACACACTAAATAAATATGGACTTTTATGGAAAAATTGACAGTTAATTGCATACTTCTATTCTCTTCCTATTAATGATGAAGGCTTTAGCATAAATTACCTATTGAACAGTCCTTTCTTACCATGATATTTTTTCTTACAGTTTTGGCTTTTATGTTCTTACAGAAGTATGTTTGTTTTTTTGCTGAGGGTCTGGGAGTAGCAAACCTTATAATGTCTGTTTATTTGAAAATATCATTTATTTTGCCCCGATTTTAAGTGATGTGTAACTGTTATTTCCCCTCAGGTCTTTGAAGATAATTACTCCATTGTCTTCTAGCTTCTATTGTTTGTCAGTTTAACTGCTATTCCTTTTCAAGTAAGTTGTCCATAGCCTCTGGTAGACTTTACGATTGTCTCTTGTACACTATATAGTTTCACTATGATATATCCAGGTGATATGTTCAGGTTTATTTTGATTAATTTTCTTTCTCAATGGTTATCTCTTCAGATACTGTTTCTCTACCCTTTTTTTTTTCTTCTTCTATGACCCCTATTATGTGGATGCTGGAGCCATTTATTCTAGCTATTATTCCTTTGAATTATTTTATCATATTTGTGTGCATTCCAGATGAGCTCCCAATATCTTCCAATTTGGTAGTTTACTGTTTGCCAGAGTCTGATCTAGAGTGGATCCCACAAATTGCATTTTTTAAAAAAGATTTTATTGATTTGACAGAGACACAGTGAGAGGGAACACAAGCAGGGGGAGTGGGAGAGGGAGAAGCACGCTTCCTGCGGAGCAGGGAGCCCAATGTGGGGCTCAATCCCAGGACCCTGGGATCATGACCTGAGCCGAAGCCAGACACTTAAGGACTGATCCACCCAGGTGCCCCTGCATTTTTTATTTCAATTACAAAATTGTTCATTTTGAAGAGTTCTAAATGTTTCCTTAGCTTGGCTCAGTTCCCAATATTAAAATTGTGTCTTTGACTCTTATCTACCTTCCTCATGGCTTCTCATAAAACTGTAATTCCAAATAGCATGTCCTTGTCAACTTTTCTTCAGCTTGCTTTCTTAAGTGGGCAACTCTACCCCAGACCATGAACCTAGCAGTAAACAGGGCTCCATAGGAACCAGACTCCCTACAGCCACAAGTCAGTTTCTTGTCCTAGTTTCTGGGAAAGCCTTCAGTTTGAGCCAGTCCAGTACCTCCTCCTCCCCTGTCTCATTGTTTTTCAGCCTCTTCTGCTGCTGGTGCTTCTTGAAGAAATTTATCCTGTGCTTAAGCTTGGCTATACCTTCTTGGTTTTATCACTTTGTTCTATTTGTCTTTGGCATGACCTGGAATAGAGGGTGTCTGTGATCTCAAGTTTCCTTGGGTGGCTCTTACTAGCTCTCACGACATAGGCTGATCTAATTTAGTTAACATCCATTACTTTGCAATATATGTATATCAAGTGATTATCCTGTATACCTTAAACTTATTGAGGTATAATTGACTTACAGCACTGTATAAGACTAACCCCCCATCCCCCCCAAATCCACAAAGTGCTCTGGGAAGTTAAATAAGATAATTAAAAATCATATAAATAGGTACCTGGTATATGATTTTAAGCTTTTAGTTTTTATAATTATCGCTGACTATAAGAATTTAATGAGAAAGCTGTCATTGACTTCTTAGATACTGAAATGTGATATCTGGACATGCTTGAGATGTGTTTACATGAAGGTAGCCCTCTAATCTTTTACCCTGAAATTAAATGGAGAGCATATGCCTCCCTAACACAGCCTCAAGTATGGTCAGGCTACTGCTTTCCTCTCTCTGAAATACCCCAAAGTTTTTAACCAAAAATACCTATTTTTGCAACAAATTGTCTCATGGTTTTATGGGTCTTAGGCTTATAATCCTGGACTGATGATAAGCAAGTTAGGTGAGGGACTTTATCTTTTATACCTGTCTCATCCCTGTACAAGTGGGACACAGGAGTTCAGTAGTTATTTATTATTATTTTTTTATTATGTTCAGTTAGTCATCATACAGTACATCATTAGTTTTTGATGTAGTGTTCAACGATTCATTAGTTGCGTATTACACCCAGTGCTTATCACCACATGTACCCTCCTTAATACCCATCATGCTGTTACCCTCCCCCGCCAAACCCCTCGTAACCCTCAGTTTGGTTCCCGGAGTCCAGAGTCTCTCATGGTTTGTCTCCCCCTCTGATTTCTTCCCATTCAGTTCTCCCTCCCTTCCCCTGTGGTCCTCCGTGCTGTTCCTTACGGTCCACATATGAGTGAAACCATATGAAACCATAAACTCTCTGCTTGACTTACGGAGTGGATCAGTGATACAGAGTAAAACAACTCACATTTTTTAGGTCAAAGGGGTTCTGAGGTACTTACCCAGGTCTTCATTTCCATTGCCTGGTACAAGAGGATTGTGGTGAGGGAGATGGTATTGATGGGTGTCCCAAAGGTAAAGACGTCAATATCAGAATCTCTGTAGGTCTGCAGAGGAGGGAAGAACAGGCACTGTTAGACATGCCCTGGGATTCAAGGTACGTGTCGTGGGCGGGGAAAGAATGAGGAGAAGATATGCAGCTGCCATCCATGGGGAGCTGCCCCAAGGAACAGACAAGATGAGGAGTGAGTTAATAGGGCTAAATTCCTCAGAAACACATTTGTGGCAGAAGCCATGATGGTTATTCCAGAACATTGTGGAATGAATGAACAAAGAATTTATTGGGCAACCGGCAGGCACAGTGAAAACTGATGAAGATACTTGTGTCCACCTTCAAGGAGTTTATAGTCTACTAGGCAGGGAAAATGTGGTACAATTAAGGGGATAAATCATACAATGGTACAAGGTATACAAAATACCCCGGGGGTACAGAAGAGAAGAGAAGATAATCAGCTGAGACCATAATAAGAGGAGTTAATCTCTTGAAAAGAGAGAGGAAAGTCAGACCAGGCAAAGGTGAGAACTTGAGGGTGAAAAGTTCACATAAGCCTAGACGGTAGGTTTGTTGAGCACATAGTGGGGGCAAAAAATGAAGCGGGAAAAGCAAGCAGAGTCCTGGAGAAGGAAGGTATTGTAAAACAGGAAAGTCAAATGAAGCACAAAATGACTGCCTCCTTGACCCATCTTGTTGCTAACTGCAAAAGAATGTGAGGTGGGGTAGACACCATTCTGGTTCCCTGTCCAGGAGACATAGAGCTATAGTTCACTATCTCAATTCCCACTCTTTAAACTGGGAACTAAATTGAGATGGGGCTGGTATCCCTTGCTTTTATTTCAGATAATGTAGTATCCCTTATTGGCAGAACTTACTGCCTGAATGCATGCTGCCTCAACCCTGGAATCACAAATCTAAATATAAATCAAATACCCTCAGTGTTCAAGTAAGAAATGGTAAATGAGTGTAGAAGACTAGGTATAAGACAAAAGGGAGTGGTAGGGACCATGGCAAACTGGAGAACATGCACCCCATCTAAACAGGGCTGTGAGTCAGTTCTGGATTTTTGCCATGTGGGAAAAATGAGCCAGTGTAATGATAGCTTCCAGCTTTTCAAAACCTGGCAAAAATTAAGATGTTTTCAAATACTCTGAGTTGGATGTAGTCTGCAGACTACCTGCTTGGAGCCTCTGTGCTGCAGTGTCCAGAAAGACACTACTAGTCTAGGATTTCATATTAACAGGACCAGTTCCACTCTGTGATTTGTGTGGTTAGAATGGGATTATAGAACTTACCAGGTAAGGAATGAAGAAACAGACAAGGCTCTGGTAGAATGCATCCACTATGGAAATCCAGAAAGTCATCGGGTTGTAGCACTGCCAGGAAAGAACACATCAACCACCCTCAAAGAAAGCCTCCATTCTTTGTAAGCAACTTTCTTGTGCTACCTGGACAGAAAATATGGTATTTACAGTGTTCTTAGAGGCAACAGAATGGAAAAATTAAGAGCATAGACTTGGCGATGACAGACCTTAGTTCAAGTCCCAGCTCTGCCACTGGCTGTATGACCTTGTGACAGTCACTAAGCTGCTTTGATAACCGGTTCTTCTTCCACAAAAGGATAAAAACAACACCAACTATCTCATTGGGTTTTGAGAAATCTAAATGCAATTGTGCTTTAGTACCCAGGAAGTGCTCAGTTATTAATAATTACCATTCAGGGCACCTGGGTGGCTCAGTTGGTTAAGCGACTGCCTTCGGCTCAGGTCATGATCCCGGAGTCCTGGGATCGAGTCCCGCATCAGGGTCCCGGCTCAGCGGGGAACCTGCTTCTCCCTCTGATCCTCTCCCCTCTCATGCTGTTTCTCTCTCTCTCTCTCTCTCTCTCTCAAATAAATAAATAAATAAATAAAATCTTTTAAAAAAATAACTACCATTCATTAGCACGTTACTAGTGCTAATACACACTTGGTAAGTTTAGAGATTCTAAGGTTTCTACATAACATCTGATGGAGAGGGAGCTCTCCATCACAGTCCAGGATCACAGATTCCCAAGAGACAGGGCTCAGTGGCTTCAGAGACAAGTGTTCTCTTTTTTGTTTCCCTCTTCCTGCCTTCCCTTGAAAAAGAAACTGTTTTCAATTTGTTTTTGCTACATTAACTTTTCTTACTGTTAGATACTCAAGGAATACATTATACATCTAGCACATCAATGGGAGGAGAAAAATCAGAAGAGCTATGGGTGTACATGTGCCATTATCACGTCTCTCTTGCCTGATGTGCTAGGGTTGCTGTGTGGCTCTCCTCCCATTTTTGGGTTAGGACTGGGCTTGGTTCTTTGTTGGCTGTCCACAAAATACTACTAGCTCTCAAACACCACATCTGGCTTGGCCCTCCTTTCTCCCAGGCACAGAGGTATGCTCATGCATGTCAATGTTCCTTTTCCCAGAACTCTTCCTTCAAGGCAGTCAGGTTCCCTGTCTGTCTCTTCCATCTAGTCCTGGGCTGTGTCTGTGCCAGTCTGACCACCTGGAGTACCCATGGTCTGACTTCTCCAAACCATTCAGGGTGTCAGTGTGACCTCTTTTTGCCTTCTAGGAGATCATCCTGGTGGTTTCCTAGGCCTTCTTTAGTCTATGGGCTACCAGCAAATTCCAGACTGTGTATAATCTTGAGTTCTAAACTTTCTTTCCCGACATGAGGTAGAAGCCTTCATTTGTGAACACCTCACCCCGTGATGAGCAAACTAGCTTTTAATCCCAGGGGTTCCTAACCCAAGCCTTGGGGGTCCTGTCAAAGGCCTGGAAAAAGGAGCCAGCTGAGGACAATGGGATCTTTCTTTACGTCCTCTCCCCATACAACTAGGGCAATCCTATGTTAAACATGTGATATAATTAAGAAATAACTAACTAAAAAGAAAAATACCCACTGGTCTGGTCCATCACCCTCAACAACAAATGCGAAACAGGCCAGGAGTGGGGAGTGGAGATACTGGGTCACATGGGAGATAAGAGGCAAAGTGGTGACCCGAGTGCAATGCCCCTGACCGCAGACCAGTGCTCTTTCTCTGGCAGAGAGGAGCTGAGGCCTCTCCATCTTACCTCAGAGTTTTGGCCACTCTTGTACAGCTCAGGCAACGCCAGGAGTGTTTCTCCAGAGATGTCTTTATCGAGGACTCCAAAGACGAGAGGAGGCAAGGAGGTGAAGAAGAGATTGAAGAATATCATCTGCCAATAATCGATCATGGTGGAGCCAGAAAAACCACAGAAAAACTGGTACCAGAAGAGCAGGTTGACGTAGCACTGCAGGCAGAGAGTGTGGCCTTGTGAATGAGGACCCACGGGCAGTGGTCACCAACGGCTGCTTTGGAGCCTCTGGCAAGTCACAACGCTGACTTGGAGCTTCTGTTTTCTCATTTGTGCCATGCAGAGTCGTGTAAGTATCAGAGAGAACTAATCCTGAGAGTGGCAGCTGCTGATACTACTACTATGAGGGTTCTTTAGGACCTGAAGGGAATTGCACCACCTTGTTAAGGTGCCGGTTCAGAGCACAGGCTGTGGAGGCAGAAAAGTCTGGTTTGGAATTTCCAGGTCTGTCACTTACTAGCTATATGACCTGGAGCAAATTGCTTAACTTTTCTGAATGTCATCTTGCCATCTTTCAGACGGGAACAGTAGTACCTAGACCATGGCATGGGATACCAAAAGGTCGTTATTATGATCAGTAGTGTGGACAAAGAGGGGGGTGCTCCTGGGAAGGGATGATAGAAAGACTGGACCATGGGCAGGAAGTGTGGTGGGAAGAGAATTTCATGAGGTTTTCTGCACAATATTTTCCTAATAGCCATGCAACTCAGAAGGGTGAATAAGAAATCTTCTCCCTAACTGTTTCTTTATGCTTTCTGAAGCTGTTTCCCACTCAAAACCACCCCACCCTGAGATGGGCTGGGTCATTAGATTGTCTACCACACTGTGATATGGTTTGATGACTTGACCAAGGTGAAGCTGCTGCTCCCAGAGTTAGAACTAGAACTTCTGGGCCTTGTTTGAGGCACAAAAGGGTGAAAGGTATTGTAAGAAATCATTCTGCAGGTTTGTGTACAAACTAGAATGTTCATGTCCTAACTGCTGGGCCAGTGTTATTTTGAAGAGGGTCTCTAGAATTGTAATAATATGGACATGTTAATATTAGTAACACCAATGATTATTACTGAATCTTCTATTTGTGCCAGGTGTGTGATATGTATTATACTATTTTAGTATATAGTACATTAGATGTGTAATAGACCTAATTTGTCCCAACAATCTTGAAAGACTATTGCTAATAAAAATTAGTATACATATTAATGTTATATCTTGGTAATAATATTAATGTTATTAGCCCTATTCTACAGACAAGGAATCAGGCTTTAAGATACTCAGTTACCTCTTGTCCAAGTTCAGAGCTAGAAAGTCACACAACTAGCATCTGAGTTTTCAAAGCTCTTTGTCTTTGATCACTCCCAACATTTTTCAATCTCCTATTGGATTGTACAGTAACAGTTGTGACTGAGAGTCTTCTAGCCAAGGAGCTCCATCCTTTGGCTTTTCTGCCCAGGTGACCAGTGGGAAGTTTCCTAGCTCTGAAAGAGATCCTGGCAACCTGACATACCCTGGACCTTGCACCTTTCTATCAGAAGGAGTGAGAGGGCCCAAGCTGTTTGCTGTGCTGCAGGTAGGTTTGAAATATACTATGGGCAGACTTTGAGTCTTGAGATCAACAACAACCAACCACTTGTGCACTTGACATGGTGAATTTAAGAAGAACTTGAAGTACTGAAGTCCCCTTAATACCAGCATTCAGCAGCTGTTTGAGGCTTTGACCTCACTCTCTCTCTCTCTCTTTTTTTCCCCTTGAGAAACTTGCCTTGCTTCTCCCTCCCCAGCAAGATGGAAAAGACAGTAACTCTTATCTCCCTTACACATAGATAGCTTGAGCAGCTCAGATGGGCTGAGTGACTATACCAAATACCCTCGGCTGCTTGGGGCTGGAACTGTGACTTGAAGTTGTAGAAGCCTCGGATGCCAGAGCTGGAAGTGACACCATCTTACAGATGAGGCCACTCATAGAAACAACAGCAATAACAATAGCAACAAAAACACCTAAAGCACTTACTAGGTGCCAAGCTCAGTTCTGACCCATTTGATCCACCTAGCAGCCCCATGAGGCGGTCATTAGTACTCCCATTTTACAGTTGAGGAAACTGAGCCTCAGTGAGAGGTCAAGTCATTGGGCTGGCAGTAAGAGCTGTTAAGTAACAAATTGGAGTTCAAACTCAGATGTTCTGGCTCCAGAGTCCGCCCTCATAAACCGGGATGTGGGAAGTGGATGCTCTTTTAAAAACAATTCCAGATCTGAGACTACAGCTCAGTCTCTAATGTCCAGAGTCATTTATCCTACACCGGGAGAGGCCAGGTTGGATCCACCCTAAAGTACTATAAGTGGGGAAGGCACTGAACACAGAATGCTGTGATTGGCAGTTCCCGCCATGGGTGCCAAGGGAGCAAGGCGGCAAGTTTGCCAGTTGTAGGCCAGCCTCTGATATTTGCAATGTAGATCTGGCCTTTCTGACGCCAAGCCTCAATCTTTCCTCTCCAAACTGAAGCTTTTAAGATGTACAGGCTTATCTGGTAGATTCTGTAATGCTTGACCTAGTTTTCACCCAAGCTCCAGCCATAGTCTAAGCCAAAGGAGGAAGAGAGCAGTGACCTGGCTGGTGTTGGAGGCTGTCTGAAACTCTCCGGCCAAGTGTGATGATATCATCACATGATATTTCTTGAACAATTTATGTTGAGACATGGTGCTAGAGATGCTTGGACAGCAGACAACACACAACGAATTTGACAACCACTGGAGAACAGGGTGCTTGGACCTCCGGGAGGCCCTGAATGCCTTAGTGGTGAGGACATTCAGTCTGAGGAGTTTGGAGTATAGCAGAACTAGGTCCAATCCTGATTCTGTGACGTATTCAGCTTTGTGATCTGGGCAACCGCTCTTTCAGCTACCACATCTATAGATGGATAATAACTGTCCCTTCCCCCACAGGGCTGAGGAAGCATTTACTGTGTACCTCACACATATTAACTCATTTATACACATAATGACCTTGTAGGTTAGGTAGTATCCCCCTTTTACAGGTGCAAAGACTGAGACACAGAGCTTAAGTAAGTTACTCAAGGCCACATTGCTGTTAAGTAGCAGAGTGGGGCCGGTATTTGAACCCAGTCTGGTTCTAGCACATATGCTCTTAACCCCTATATTACACTTAGCTCTCATAGTTATATATATATATACACAAAGTTCTTAGGACAGCATCTGGTATGTGGTAGGTTCCCTATAGATGACGGTGGATGTTAATGCTAGTGATGCTATGCCAAACAGTAACCAGCTGTGCTAAGTACCAAGGACACTATAGCAATCAAGGGTAGCATGGAGAACTCTCGTGACCTGGGTGTTGGAAAACTAGCATTTACTGACCTCCTTGCCTTATACTTCACACATGGGCAGTATCGAAGGGCTTTAATCCCTAGTCAAGGCAAGAAAACACTGCTTGGATATCACTGGCTCATTTTTCCATAGAACCGTTCTTCCTGAATTATAATTTAATATTGTTTTTTATCAAGGGTTATTAGAAAAAGGTACCATATGGAGGTTAATTTTCATTTCTTACAAAAATGCCACAGAAGACAGTTTCTTGAAGGTTTTTGTGTGACCTTCTTCTAAAGGTTTGCTTGACAAATTGATCTCTGAATTTAGAGCAAAGAGAGAGTGTTCCTCCTGGAGAACTGGTCTGTTTGCTTTAACCAGATATTTAATACTTAGCATCTTATTATCCCAGGTTCCTGGTGCAACTGTCCTCTTTCTTTTCTGTGGTTCTGCTCCATACTCTTATAAATTTCCCTTCTAACTTCTCTATTGCCTCTGTGTATACTATAAGTCACTTTCATCTCTTTTTGGAATTACAGTATATGATATAAAATTATAAATAAACAGCCTAAAATATTTTCTATAAACTCAGGTTGTCAAGCCTCTCTTTCTTGGCAGGGAAACTGGCAAATTCATAGTTCTATCTCTTCTTTTGGGTCCTAGCTTAAATGTTACTTTTTTTCTAACTGATTAGGTCAAGAATCTCCTAGCACCATGACCTTCTTGAGGGAGATGTGCCTAAGAAAATAATTGTAAAATTTTCATCTTCTTTTCCTATAATAGTACTACTTAATCTTTAAGGTTCATACAAATTACCAGGGGCTCTGACTAAAAGCTCCATTCTGAGGTAGTAGTCCCAGGATGTAGTCTGAGGATCTGCATTTCTAACTAGCATCTAGCTGATGCTCATGCTGCTGATCCAGGAACCACAGTTTGAGAAACAAGATTTATGGAGACCAGGAGATGACAGACTAGTTCCTACAGGCCAAAAAACTGGTCATAAATAAGGTTTTGTTGGGACACAGCCACATTGATTCATTTGCATGTTGTCTATAGTCGCTTTCATGTTGCTGCAGCAGAGTTGAGTAGGTATGATGGGCTATGTGGCCCACAAAGCTAAAAGTATTTCTTACCTGGCCCTTTGCAGAACAAGCTCACTGAGCCCTGATTTAGACTGTCAGCCTCAGGAGGCAGGGACACAGATGTTCAATAATGATTTGAATAAATGAAATCAATTGTTGTTTTATTGTCCCAACAATACCCTGGAGTTTAACACTGAAGTGTTTCCTTCCTCTGCAGGCCCTGTTAGGACGTTGCTTGCTTCCACTTCCTCTGGCTGGAATCTTTGCGCTTCTGAGGGTGTGCCCGGAACCTGGTGACAGCATCACTGAGGCGGGGGGTGGGGGGCGGCAAATGCGTTTTCCTCCCAAGAAGCTACAGTGCAGTGTGCAGTAATTAATTCATTGTTCAAATTTCAGAGCAGGCAGGGTTTTAATCCCCTCTGAAATTGGTTTTGGATGTGGAAGTCATAGTTCTCCACCCTCTAATTGCAATGGGGAGATAATGTGGCATCAGTATCACAATTTCGAGCATGGCATCGGGCTGGAAATAAATACCATTTAAGCTTTGAAAGCATGGCTGGCTGGAAACGTTTCCTTTTCTATTTCACAAATTTAATGCAGAGAAGAGGTTGTGCTTATTCAAAAGAACGGCTCCTTTGGAGGCAAGAAAAAAAATTAAACGGGAATTTTGAATTCTAAGTAAACAGTCTTTCATGCTCAGTGAGTTTCAAGTTAAATAGAGTGACTTGTTTGCATAGACTTGCTGAATATTACCATCCAGTTTATCGAATTTACATTATTTTTTGTCATGCTGTTTATTTACATATACATTGAACTGTGCACAAAAATGCTTACTCTTGAGTGCGGGCAACTGTGACAGTGCCTAAATCAGGACTGGGAGAATGGAACAAGGGGACAGAAGGCAATTTCACAGCTGCTACTTGGCTAATGCGTTCCTCTGCCATCACTCTACTCTTAATCCTCCCTTCTTCCTTATGCAAACAGGAATCAGATTCTATTTGGAGACTCTTGGGGATTATTCAAAGGTCCTTGAACTAGGTAATGGCAAACTCAGGCCCCTTGTTCCCTCCCTTAGTACAGCAATGTTCTGGCTTCTTTCAATACCCATTGTTAATCAAGGGCTTTTCAAATAAGAGCCTCTGACACTTTTAATAGCTCAGTTGGTGTGTGCCTGCTTTGGGCCCTTACCAACAAGACAGAAATGAGCATATTTTTTAGGAGAAACAATGCTACCTTCCTATGATCGTATTTGTATAGTGTCACATGCTTTCCTGAGCTCTGACACTAAAGCCTCTTGACAATACTTCTAGGGACAGAGGGAGTCCAAGTGTCTCCATATTATTGATGAAGAAACCTAGGTTCAGAGAGGTTAAGTAACTCTTCCAAGTTCACACAGCATGCTAGAGTCAGGCAAGACTAAAACCCAGATGATCTCCCCAGTCTAAACATTTTTGCCACTAGACATTTAATGTCCTGACCTCTGTGAATTCCCTGCTGGGAAGGCTGGGGAAGCCGAAGTGATACATAGTCTCAGGTAGAAGCCAGGGACTCCAGTCTTAAACCTGTACTCTCCCAAGGGGTCGGGTATGGCTCTTACATTGGGGTGGCTCTATGGGGGGAGAAAATTTAAGATACGTGTCAGGCTAGTTATCCTTCAAGTCCTTTTTTCCTGTAGTCAGAAAGTAAACCTCATTTATGGAGTCCATCTAAGAGCAATGACAATAGCAATAATGATAAAAATAATGGCTGACTTTATAAGATGATTACTATGTGCTAATAACTTTATATACAAGCTCTCATTTAATCCTAGCAAATATAGGAGAAAGGTACTATTATCATCCCCATTTTACAGATGGTAAAACTAAGGTATAAGGCCATTACCAAATATAAGAGCCTAGATTTGAACCAAATATGTTCGACTCAAGAGTCCATGCTTGTAACCACTCATGCTGCCTTCTATGTACCAGGTGCTTTCCATACAGTATTGCTAATGCTCACAAAAGTCTTAGCCCATTTTACCAAAGAAGAAATTGAGACCAGGAGAAGTGAATTATATTGCTCAAGTTCACAGAGCTAGTAGGAAAGAGTTTCAGGATTCAAAATCTAGGCCAGCCTGGTTTGTCTTACCACTGTGGTAGGAGTGGATCCCCTGGCAGGGCCTCCCAAGGCCTGTGCAGGTTACCATAGTGCTACTCACCACATTCTTGTAGAAGTAGTACACCACCATCCTGGCCAGGCGCGAGTAACACCAATGGCCATGCACAAGCAGCAGCTTCTTGAGGTGTCTGAAGCGGGATATGGCAAAGTCGCTGGACATAACAGCCTGAGAGGGCAGAAGAGAGACATCGGCTTCTATCCATGGCCACCAGTGAACCAAAGAGTCTCCCTTGAGGGCTATGCTTTGTTCTAGGTGATAGCTGGAAGGGCCAAAAAGACCCGTTGTCACTATGTGGCACCTAGGGTGGTTCTTTGGAATTGGACAACCCATCCATTCTTCTGGAAACTCCAAACCTCACTAGAATCCAAGAAAGCAGCTCGTAAGGAACTAGTGGTCTAGTCTGGCCCTTCATCTCCTTCTCTTTATCTGATAAACATTAACTGTGGCCTCAAATGTGTTGGCACCATGCTAGAGATGTGATGGCTAACCAGAAAGTAGGGGCTTCCATGCAAGTAATCCTCAAACCTCTCAACACACTTGGTTGCCTCCTGTGGCAGACCATTTGCTCCATTCTTAGATGGAGCTGATGGCGGGATAGCTCTTCCTTTACATGGAGCTGAAATATGCTTTCTGCCCTTGGGGTTATTCAGAACATGACATAGTTCATGGTACTCTTAAAAGTATGAGGTTTGGAAGTGCTTGGTTATAGACCCTGGTATGTCAGGCTGTTTAAACTTTCCCAGCATCAGTTTCATTTGAAAAATAGTAATAATTCCTAACACACAGGGTTGTGATTGTTCAAATTAATTGGAGTAATAAATGTGAGATGCCTAATGCAGTGCTGGCATATGGTAGATACTCAAAGGGTAACTGTGTTCTTTCATCCTCACCAACAAATTTAGGCAATACCTCCTGTCTGCACTAGTGGTGAGAATACAGCTGTTAATGGTTCAGAGCCACAAAGTGGGGTCTATATTAGTAGGAAACATTAGCAGCTCTAGTTAGTATGCTTGTCCCAACCTGAATTTTGACTCAAAATTCAGGTACACTTATTAAAGTGTACCTTATAGGGAGGAGCAAGATGGTGGAGGAGTAGGAGACCTAAATTTCGTCTGGTCCCAGGAATTCAGCTGGATAGGGATCAAACCATTCTGAACACCTGTGAACTCAACAGGAGATCGAAGAAAAGAATAGCAACAACTCTCTGAACAGAAAAGCGACCACTTTCTGGAAGGTAGGACGTGTGGAGAAGTGAATCCGAGGAGATATTTGGGAGGATAGACGGCGGGGGAGGGGGCCTCCGTCCGCCACTTCTGGCAAGTGATAGAGCAGCGGAGCACAAAATCGGAGCTTGTAGAAGTCTACTCCGCTGAGGGACATCGCTCCAGTGGCTAGGAAGTAGAACCCTCTCTGGGACAGTGTGGTCTCAGGACCCTTGGGGTCAAGAAAGACCAGGGGTGCCTGAGTGCAGCAGAGCTCCCAGGTATCAGAGTGGGGAAGCTGGCTGCAGAGACGGAGCTGAGGAGCGGGCTCTCAGCTGGGGGTTGCCATAAACCATGATCCACGACACAGCTGGGCCACTGCTCCTCCAGCAGGGACCCAACAAGCGGCAGATCCGGGGAGACTCCCCTTCCTTCCCTGGGGGGAGCGGCGCGGGAGCGCACTGCAGGGATCTGCTGGGTTTGGAGACTCCACACGGGGTCGTGTGCCAGAGATAGAAATGCTTGTTCACAGGCTGGGTGAGCACGGAGTGCGGCTGGAGACTGGGGAGACAGGAGTGACTGACTGCTTTTCTCTGGGGGCTCACTGAGGAGTGGGGCCCCGGGTTCTCGGCTCCTCTGGGGCGGATATTGGGAGGCTGCCATTTTCTTTCCCGTCCTGCAAAGCTGTACGGAAAGCTTGCAGGGCACAAAAGCTCCTGAGAGCAAACCCGAGCAGATTACTTAGCCCAGACTGGCAAGGGTGGGGCAATTCCACCTCTGGCAAAGACATTTGGGAACCATGGCAACAGGCCCTTCCCCCAAAAGATGAGCAAGAACAGCCAGCCAAGACCAAGTTTACCGATCAATGAGAATGGCAGAATGCCAGTGCTAGGGGAATACTGCTCATAGAATCCATGGCTTTTTTCCAATGATTCTTTGGTCTTTCCGAGTTAATTTTTTAAATTTTATTTCCTTTTTTCGAATTTTTCTTTTTCCCTTTTTCAACCAACATCTTATCAATCCCATTTAAAAAAATCTTTTTTATTTTTCATTTTTAGAGTCATATTCTATCCCTTCCTATTAGTTAACCTTATTTTTGGTATATATATAAGTTGTTCTTTCTTTAAAATTTTGGGATACAGTTTCCTCTAACAGACCAAAATATACCCTAAATCTCCTAGTGTATGGCTTTGTTCTAGTCTCCTGCCTGATCACATTCTCTCCCCCTTTTTTTAAGTTTCTCTTCTTTCTTTTTTCAACCAACTTATTTCCTTTTATAAAATCTTTTAGAATTTTCATCTTTACAGTCATATTCCATCCCTTCATCATATTTACCCATATTTTTGTACATATATAAGCTTTTCTTTCTTTAAAGTTTTGGGAGGCAGTTTCTTCTAACAGACCAAAATGTGCCCAAAATTTAGTGTGTGGCACTGATCTATTCACCAGCCTGATCATATTTGATCATATTCTTTTTTTTTTTTTAAATCTTTTTCTTTCTCCTTTCTTTGTCTTTCTTTTCCCCCGGTTTCAGGTCTCTTCTGATTTGTTTAGTGTATATTTTTCTGGGGTCATTGTTACCCTGTTAGCATTTTGTTCTCTCATTCATCTGTTCTCCTCTGGACAAAATGACAAGATGGAAAAAATCACCTCAACAAAAAGAACAAGAGGCAGTACCAACTGCCGGGGACCTAATCAATACGGACATTAGTACGATGTCAGAACTAGAGTTCAGAATGACGATTTAAAAGATACTAGCTGGGCTTGAAAAAAGCATGTAAGATATTAGAGAAACTCTTTCTGCAGAAATAAAAGAACTAAAATCTAAACAAGTCGAAATCAAAAAGGCTATTAATGAGATGCAGTCAAAAATGGAGGCTCTAACTGCTAGGATAAATGAGGCAGAAGAGAGAATTAGTGATATAGAAGACCAAATGAGGGAAAATAAAGAAGCTGAGAAAAAGAGAGATAAACAACTACTGGATCACAAGGGCAGACTTTGAGAGCTAAGTGATACCATAAGATGAAACAATATTAGAATAATTGGGATCCCAGAAGAAGAAGGGGGGGGCAGAAGGTATACTGGAGCAAATTATAGCAGAGAACTTCCCTAATTTGGGGAAGGAAATGGGCATCAAAATCCAGGAGGCACAGAGAACCCCTCTCAAAATCAATAAAAATATGTCAACACCCCGACATCTAATAGTAAAACCTATGAGTCTCAGAGACAAAGAGAAAATCCTGAAAGCAGCTCGGGACAAGAGATCTGTAACCTGCAATAGAAGAAACATTAAATTGGCAACAGACCTATCCACAGAGACCTGGCAGGCCAGAAAGGACTGGCATGATATATTCAGAGCACTAAATGAGGAAAATATGCAGCCAAGAATACTATATCCAGCTAGGCTGTCATTGAAAATAGAAGGAGAGATAAAAAGCTTCCAGGACACACAAAAACTAAAGGAATTTGCAAACATGAAACCAGCCTTCCAAGAAATATTGAAAAGGGTCCTCTAAGCAAAGAGAGAGCCTAAAAGCAACATAGACCAGAAAGGAACACAGACAATAGACAGTAAGAGTCACCTTACAGGCAATACAATGGCACTAAATTCCTATCTTTCAATAGTTACCCTGAATGTAAATGGGCTAAATGCCCCAATCAAAAGACACAGGCTATCAGATTGGATAAAAAAATAAGACCCATCGATATGCTGTCTGCAAGAGACTCATTTTAGACCCAAAGTCACCTCCAGATTGAAAGTGAGGGGGTGGAAAACCATTTACCATGCTAATGGACACCAAAAGAAAGCTGGGGTGGCAATCCTTATTGCAGATAAATTAGATTTTAAACCAAAGACTACAATAAGAGTTGAGGAAGGACACTATATCCTACTTAAAGGGCCTATCCAACAAGAAGATCTAACAATTGTAAATATCTAGGCCCCTAACATGGGAGCAGCCAATTATATAAGCCAATTAATAACAAAAGCAAAGAAACACATTGACAACAATACAATAATAGTGGGAGACTTTAACACCGCCCTCACTGAAATGGACAGATCATCTAAGCAAAAGATCAACAAGGAAATAAAGACTTTAAATGACTCACTGGACCAAATGGACTTCACAGATATATTCAGAACATCCCATCCCAAAGCAACAGAGTACACATTCTTCTCTAGTGCCCATGGAACATTCTCCAGAAGAGATCACATCCTTGGTCACAAATCAGGTCTCAACTGGTACCAAAAGACTAGGATCATTCCCTGCATATTTTCAGACCACAGTGCTTTGAAACCAGAACTCAATCACAAGAGGAAAATTGGAAAGAACTCAAATACATGGAGGCTAAAGAGCATCCTACTAAAGAATGAATGGGTCAACCAGGAAATTAAAGAAGAATTAAAAAAAATTCATGGAACCAAATGAAAATGAAAACACAACTGTTCAAAATCTTTGGGATGCAGCAAAGGCAGTCCTAAGAGGAAAGTATATACCAATACAAGCCTTTCTCAAGAAACAAGAAAGGTCTCATATACACAGCCTAACCCTACACCTAAAGGAGCTGGAGAAAGAACAGCAAATAAAGCCTAAACCCAGCAGGAGAAGAGAAATAATAAAGATCAGAGCAGAAATCAATGAAATAGAAACCAAAAGAACAGGAGAACAGATCAACAAAACTAGGAGCTAGTGCTTTGAAAGAATTAACAAGATTGATAAACCCCTGGCCACACTTACCAAAAAGAAAAGAGAAATGACCCAAATCAATAAAATCATGAATGAAAGAGGAGAGATCACAACCAACACCAAAGAAATACAAACAATTATAAGAACATACTATGAGCCTCCCCTTTCTCATGTGCTCTCTCTCATTCTCTTTCAAATAAATAAATAAAATCCTTAAAAAAAAAAAACATACTATGAGCAACTATATGCCAGCAAGTTAGATAATCTGGAAGAAATGGATGCATTCCTAGAGACCTATAAACTACCAAAATTGAATCAGGAAGAAATAGAAAACCTGAACAGACCTATAACCACTAAGGAAATTGAAGCAGTCATCAAAAATCTCCCAACAAATGAGAGCTCAGGGTCCAGATGACTTCCCAGGGGAATTGTACCAAACATTTAAAAAAGAACTAATACCTATTCTTCTGAAACTGTTCCAAGAAATAGAAATGGAAGGAAAACTTCCAAACTCGTTTTATGAGGCCACCATCACCTTGATCCCAGAACCAGACAAAGACCCCATCAAAAAGGAGAATTACAGACCAATATCCCTGATGAACATGGATGCAAAAATTCTCACCAAAATACTAGCCAATAGGATACAACAGTCCATTAAAAGGATTATTCACCACGACCAAGTGGGATTTATCCCTGGGCTGCAAGGTTGGTTCAACATCCACAAATCAATCAATGTGATACAATACATTAATAAAAGAAAGAACAAGAACCATATGATCCTCTCAATAGATGCAGGAAAAACATTTGGCAAAGTACAGCATCCTTTCTTGATCAAAACTCTTCAGAGTATAGGGATAGAGGGTACATACCTCAATATCATAAAAGCCATCTAAACCCACAGCAAATATCATTCTCAATGGGGAAAAGCTGAGAGCTTTCCCCCTAAGGTCAGGAACGTGGCAGGGATGTCCACTGTCACTACTGCTATTCAACATAGTATTAGAAGTCCTAGCCACAGCAATCAGACAACAAAAAGAAATCAAAGGCATCCAAATCAGCAAAGAAGAGTCACACTCTCACTCTTTGCAGATGATATGATACTTTATGTGGAAAACCCAAAAGACTCCACCCCAAAACTGCTAGAACGCATATAGGAATTCAGTAGAGTGGCAGAATAAAAAATCAATGCACAGAAATCAGTGGCATTTCTATACACCAACAACAAGACAGAAGAAAGAGAAATTAAGGAGTTGATCCCATTTACAATTGCACCCAAAACCATAAGATACCTAGGAATAAATCTAACCAAAGAGGCAAAGGATCTGTACTCAGAAAACTATAAAATACTCATGAAAGAACTTGAGGAAGACACAAAGAAATGGAAAAACACTCCATACTCATGGGTTGGAAGAACAAATATTGTGAAGATGTCAATGCTACCTCGAGCAATCTACACATTCAATGCAATCCCCATCAAAATACCATCCAGTTTTCTCAAAGAAATGGAACAAATAATCCTAAAATTTGTATGGAACCAAAAAAGACCCTGAAAAGCCAGAGGAATGTTGAAAAAGAAAAGCAAAGCTGGTGGCATCACAATTCTAGACTTCAAGCTCTATTACAAAGCTGTCATCATCAAGACAGTATGGTACTGGCAAAAAAAAAGACACATAGATCAATGGAACAGAATAGAGAGCCCAGAAATGGACCCTCAACTCTATGGTCAACTCATCTTTGACAAAGCAGGAAAGAATGTCCAATGGAAAAAAGACAGTCTCTTCAACAAATGGTGTTGGGAAAATTGGACAGCCACATGCAGAAGAAGGAAACTGGACCATTTCCTTACACCACACACAAAAATAGACTCAAAATGGTTGAAAGACCTAAATGTGAGACAGGAGCCCATCAACATCCTAGAGGAGAACACAGGCAGCAACCTCTTCCTAGAAACATGGCCAAAGGCAAGGGAAGCAAAGGCAAAAATGAACTATTGGGACCTCATCAAGATAAAAAGCTTTTGCACAGCAAAAGAAATAGTCAACAAAACCAAAAGGCAACCGACAGAATGGGAGAAGATATTTGCAAATGACATATCAGATAAAGGGCTAGTATCAAAAATCTATGAAGAACTCATCAAACTCAACACCCAAAGAACAAATGATCCAATCAAGAAATGGGCAGAAGACATGAACAGACATTTTTCCAAAGAAGACATCCAAATGGCCAACA